CTCAGAATGGGGAGCAGCTTGGAGAGCAACTTACAGGTAGTGGTGTTCCCACATATCTGTTGCCCTTGTCCTTCCAGATAAAAGTAGTCATGGGTTTGGGAGGTACTGTCTAAGGATCTTTGATGAATTTCTGCAGTGCATCTTGTGGATAGTACATACAGCTGCTGAGTGTCAGTGGTGGAAGCAGCGGATGCAGTGGCAATCAACTAGGCTGCTTTGTCCTAGATAGTGTCAAGCTTCTTTAGTATTTTTGAAGTTGTACTCAGACAAGTGGAGAGTATTCCATCACACTTCGGACTTGTGTCTTGCAGATTGTGGACAAGCTTTTGGCGTCAGTGGGTGAATTACTTGCTGCAGAACGCCTGGTCTGTGATCTCTCTTGTAGTCACTATATTTATATAGCCGGTCTGGTTATGTTTCTGGTCAATAGTAAACGTCAAGATATTGATGGTGAGGGATTCACTGATGGTAACACTATTGGACGTCAAGGAGTGACAGTTAGATTATCTCTTAGTGGAGACTGTCGTTACTTGACATTTGTGTGCTTTGAAACTTACTTGCAAATTGTCAGCCCAAGACTGGACATTGTCCAGGTTTTGATGCATTTGAACACAGACTGCTTCAGTATCTGAGTTGTGAATGGAGCTGATCATTGTATAATCAATCATTGGCGAACATCCCTACTTCTGACCTTATGATGGAGGGAAGGTCATTGACAAAGCAGCTGAAAATTGTTCAACCGAGGACACTATACTGAGCAACTGCTACGGAGATGTCCTAGAGCTGAGATAACTGACTTCCAACAACCAAAACCATCTTCCTACATACCAGGTATGACTTCAGTCAGAGTTTGCCCCTGATTCTGACTGCTTCCAGTTTTACTAGGGTTACTCATGCCACATGCAGTCAAATGCAGCCTTGATGTCAAGGGCTGTCACTCTCATGTCACCTCTGGAATTCAGCTCTTTTGTCCATGTTTGAACCAAGACTGCAATGAGGTAAGGACTGAGTGGTCCTAGTGGAATCCAAACTGGGCATCAGTGAGCAGGTTGTTGCTGAGCAGGGGCTGCTTGTCAGCACTGCGATGACACTTTCCATCACTTTACTGATGATCAAGAATAAATTGATGAGGCTGTAATTGTCCTCGGAGACAAAAATAGAAATTGCTGGGAAAATTCAGCAGGTCTGGCAGTATCTGTCAAAAGAAATAAACCGGCAGCCAGATGACGGAAGGGTAAACACAGAAGGACATTCATTTCAGTTAGAGTCAGGAAGTAACTTTTTTTTTTAATTTGGGGAAAAACCCAAAGGGTAGAAAGCTTTTGTGTTCAGTTTGCAAAATCCCCGTTGAAGTTAGAGGTACAAACAATTCTTCCCTAAGAAAGGTGATAATTCAGAAGTTATAAAATAGGTTACCTCAGCACAAGGATTATAGTTTGAAAGTTTCAGACCTGAAGTGTTTGGTTAGAACTATGAAGGTTATATCTGAAGCTGAAAAAGTTTAAGCTCAGTTGTGTGAATACTCAAGGAAGAGGGAATTGAAAGAGAAAGTTGAGTCAACCTTATAGATGTGATAGAGAAGAGTTCTCTGTGGTGTTTAAGTACTGTAAAGTGATGGTGTTGAGATAAAGGAGATTGTATTTTAATTGTGTTTCAAAATCTTTCAAATTGTGTTAAGTGTAAATAGCTAGGTTTATTCTATTTTACCTTTTCTTTTATATGGTAAATTTCTGCTTTATTGTTAAAATCAGGCGTGTAGTATTGCTTGCTTGTATTTCAGTGAAAGATCTACTTGTTAAATAAACAAGAGCAAAATATAATCTATAAAGCCAGATTTCTGTCTGGGATCATAACACCTCATATTCCCCCAACCTGCCCCACTCCACCTCCGACTTGGCAATCTATCACTGTTTCTCCAGTGCCATGGGTCAAAATCCTGAAACATCAGCATTGTGATGTACCAACCCCAAATGGATTTCAACAATTCAAGTAGACGGTCCACTGCTACCTTCTCAAGGGCAAATAGCAAGGGTAATAAATGTTGGTCCCCTGGGCAAAACCCACATGCCCTGAACTGATTAAAACATTGCTGAATCATGCCCAAAGGGTGTCCTACCTGGCTATCCAAATGAATCCATAAAGCTCAGACTTGTTCTGTTTTAGCAGGTCTAATGTGAACATGCAAGGTTCTGTGCAATAGATGCAAAAATCCCACTTGAGTGGGGGTGTTTTAAATTGCAAACTGTCTCCATGAAATATCCATGTCTAAAACCTAGACTGAATCTATTCCACTCATCATGAAAATGGGAACTGCTGTGATTTCCAGCACTGTCATCATGGAAAGGCCCTCTATTGTGGCAGTAACTTAAGTCAGGATAACTGCATGTTCCCTGCTTCTAATACTACTACATAGACAGTTGGGACACTGTTTCAAGGTTAATAACGGCATGTAACCAATACAGTCAAATCAAAGAAGGTGTCAAATTAAACTTAAATAGAAGCTTATTTCATCCGATCTATCACTGATTTGCCTGGGCAACAATTTCAAACAGTAAACAGTAAGATTTAAAAATATGCAGTTTCTTCTGGTCCACTTGGATGACATCACACATTTTTAAATAACAACAATCTCTCATCCAAATATTCTATGTTCTCCAAAGATATATATGGTTCCTTACCAATGTACTATTTAGAAATGACAATTGAAGTACATAAAAGTGTCTAAGTTTTTTTACAAGTTTGGCGTAATACTTAAACTGCTTTGTTCAAGAGCACTGCATTGTTGATAAAAAAATTCCAATACTGGATTGACTTTTAACAGATATTTTGTTTTACAGTGACAGAAATTAGAAATACGCTCATGGTTGTCTTCTTTCAGGTTAACTTTCCTAGAACTCCAGATTGCTGATATATTTCTGAAACAAAAAAGCTGTCTAAGCAGAATCAAAATCCATCCAATAACCTACTTCTCCAGTACCTACCACAGAACTGCAGATTATAAATTTTCTAATTAATCTCTCCTCTAAAATGAATAATTCACATAACAAAACTATCAAGACAATCAAACATTTATTTCTTCATCCTATCATGTCAACACATTTACATTGGAGGCTTTAAAAAAATCCTCAGTGGTTACTGGTTCACACTATTTGTACAAGTAATCACAATCATGATGTCTGTTGTGTGTTTTTCAGCATACTAGAACAAAATCCCACACCATCAATTGTCAGGAAAGAGAATGCATGGTTTCAGCATGATACAAGAGGGATATTTTGGAAGTAGCAATTGATAAAAATTAATCAATAGTAAACACTGGCAGTCAACATGCATTATAACTTAAAATGTTTAAGCAATACATAAATATTTTTATTTGAAATGAATGAGGGAACTGAAGGCATTTTAATTAAAATAAATTACTGCTGTTTTGTACAATATTTGTAAACAGTACCAATAAATGAAAGCGTATTAATTTAAATTTCATCATAGTACACGAAGTTGTTGACAGTGGTCTGTTCTAATTTCAAACAGATGACAACGGTATCTTTCAAAATTGAGTGTAATAGAATCTCACTGTATTCTCTATCAATTCTCCTTCTTTTTACTCTTTTCAAACAGGATTTTCACTAGGCCATGTTTTCTAATAATACGAATTGATTTTTAAAACATTTAAAAATTCTAATACTAATGGTTCTTAATAAAAATACTATGCTGCTCTAAACTGTTTCAATGACGTCATTTTTCTGTAATTAAAAGAAACCCACATATAGTTAAAAATCTCCAAAGAAAAATAAGTTATATAGTTGGATCTTTATCTAATACGTTAAATCATATAATCCTTTTGAAAGCATAAATGTAATAGCTACGCTTGAAAATTTATATGCACAGTACTAGCAAAACAAAACTCATTGATATGCTTAAATATATCATTAACAGTTAAATAGTTATAGGATGATCATGCACTAAAAAGGTTATAGAAGGAAATGGTTAAACAAATGAACTGCACTGTAGAAGTCCATATATAGTCAGAAAGCAAGCAGCCTTCCATCACTGGTTAAGCTTTAACTGGCCAGAAATAGTCACAGGTGGCTTTCCTTCAATCTCAAATGGACAATCATAAAATACATCGTATGTCCACAAATAAACTACGGCACTATTACTCTGTTCATTTGTGTTAGTAGGGCTGTTTCAGTCTGAGAAAAGTGTTAAATGTAATAGCACTTTCTTTAAAAGTGCTTAGTTGTATTCCAATGGAGGAAATGTTTCATATAATACCCCCACATTCTGTTGCAGGGAAGGTCTTTTAGAAAATATCACGGGCTTATAAAGTTAGATCATAAACATTTTCGAACATCAAATATTTAATCCTCAAAGACCCTCCTCCTGAACAGAAAACGAAGTGGAGTCCAATAGTGCAATACATCAATTACCTACACAATATGACAACTTCCTACTCTGAATACTAGATGTCATTTAAAGAGTCGGCACTGGAACTAAAAACAGGCAAAGATGCAGAACGGTTTGAACACAAAATTAATCAGTGCCTTTTGCACATACAATTCTCTAGGGAAGTTTCAAAGTAGCATGAGATACGTTTTGGATCTATTCACTGGTGTACCGAATGTGCAGAATGGTGTAAGGAGGATAATAGGATAACCTTCAATCAACTGCATTTGGATATCAATGTTCAGTATTCTTTTTAACAAAAAACATATTAACTGAATTTAATAACTAAAATTAAAAGCCTTATCCAGGAATAAAACTTATAATTCAAAATGTAAATCTTCGCTGTGTGAACATTGCTAGTTTAGATGATTTACCTACAGAAATGGTAAAGGCTAAATTAAAAGGAAACAACGCAAAATTATGTTCAATTAAGAAAATTAAGTGATGATTTAATCAGTGATAATGACAAAAGTACTCAAAAAGCCACTTCTAGAATGTCGTACATTCTACTTAAGACTAACACACAAAATATATCAAAATTTGAAACAAAAACTTACCTTTTAATAATGAAACTTTAGTTAAAGATTCGTTCAATTCCTGTTCATCCATTTGGTAATCTATTTTTAGTTTAAAAATATGAGTTTAAGCTTATGCAGTAACTGAGATGGCACATCATTTCTTACATACCATCAGAACCTCCTCAAAGAACTATACGTCACAGCAAAACCATCTGTAATCTAATAAGTGGTGAAGATATGTGGTAGTATTAACATCTGCACTTGCCCCTGCCAAAAGAAGCACGCACAGCAACAAAATTTAAGCAACACACAAGGTTCTGAAAGCTATGTATTGTTAATTTTGAATACCTATTTGGCAATGAGGTATGTAATACGTTCATAGTTTTATTAAATTTACAGATTTAGAAAGAACAAAAGCAGAGGGAAATTGTTTGACAAAACAAAAATTTGCTGCAGTTTGAGTTCGTACTTAATAATTGAAACATTTTAGATTTTACAAAGCATTATGCAAAGCCATCTCGCAAATGTATATTTCCATAATTTAATGGAAGATAAAGATGTTAAAGAAACTGTAAATGATTAGGTGACACTTTCTATACAGAAAGGGATTACCGTCAAATCTGACCAACAATCCAAATAAACAAACATTTAAAAGCAGGTGGAACTTAAATGAAGATCATGCACTGTCCAAATTTAACTATGTTGGTTACTGACCTATTTTCTAATCGGAGTAAGCTAAATAAATTCCAATTCCATGGAGTGAAAAAGAAGCATATCAAAACTTCAGCAATAGATATTTCATTTTAATTTTGGTGAACATGTATATACCAATGTAAGGTATCTTTCTAAATCAGCGCAATAGAATTCTATATAAAAGAACAGAATATGACACAACACAATTTAACAAAGGTGCACATCACAAATTTAACTTATAATAAACTTAAATTTTAAAAAATGATCAGCCTTTGGCAGTAAAAGTATCTCTGCAATTTAATTGCATAATCCTATAAAATTACCTGTAGTGTCTTCGCTGCTCCTGTCCTTACTTGGGCTGAGTGTGTCAGACATATCAGATTCCTTTGCTTCCAGTTGATTTTCTGACGAGACAGAAGAGTCCATTTATAAACACAGGGGAGCACACTAACTTGAACGCATAACGCCAAGTCATTAGTTTTTCTTTGAAGTTGACAGTTGGTAGCAAATTTAAATATACATGATTGAACTATCCATTTCCTAAAATTTTAAGAACAGCAGCTAGAGTTTCTAGTTAAAATAACTATATTTAAAAATAATACACATGGGAACTCCCAAATGTTCTGAAAGTTTTGGCAGCTTCTATTATATTTCCACAAATGGTCATGTAATCAAGCTGAAGCTTTTAACTCAGCACACAGCTGCCTGGCTAAAATAGTCAATGCTTTTGTTTGGAGAGGATAAGATCATTTCCTTGCTAATGGGTGAATTCTGCAAAGTTAGCTGTTCTTATCAATGTTTTAGTATATGACCACAGAAGAGAGACAATGCATTATAAATTGTTTCATTATTTCCTGAATGTTGTAATTTTAAAATAAGTATAAGTATATGTTTCTTAAAATTCTTTGCATGACTTTTCATAAACATCATACAGCTTTTTATAAATCATTATTTATGTAAGAAATAACAATGAATCTCTGGGCTGATTTTTGTTGCCTTTCTTTCAGCACATGGTGTTTATAATATGAATAGAAAACTTTACAGATGAGGGAAATAACAATGAAAATATTGCTTTAAAAAGCCTTCAACATTTGTCTTCAACTCTTTCCATCCCTATTCTGCATATTTTTACCCATTCTTTCTTCACTGCATTAATTATGAATGTACGATGTTTTGATTTTATAGTTTTAGACTGAACATATTCTGTAAACAGACACATGCTACAGTCCACTTTCAAAACTGGACTTGTAATGACCTCTTAACTAAGTGCTGCTTCAAAAACTGATCATTTGAACAAAGTAACCAATTCAATCATTTGACATTTTTTAACCACAAAGTCATAGAACTGAGATAACTTAGGTGACTTACAATCCACTAAGTAACTCATGAATCAGTGTTGTCCAAAAGAATTTCAAAGTCTTGTGAAATTATGGTGATCAGGTCACCACTTTGACACAAATACAAAAGATATGCAATATTAATAAAACAAATGCACGTGTTTTGAAAATAGGTTAAAACATCAGTAATCATGTCTAGAACACTCACTGAAACAGATGGATTGCAAAACTCTATTGAAGCTGTATCCCTTGCTCTGATACAACGCAAGCCTGCTATTTATACTCTCAAAGGGTGATGATAATCTGTTAACTGAAGTATTCTGTTTCTTACACTGTGCTCATACTAAAAATCCAATTTTCTCAAGAGCAAACTGTTTGTCCTTAGGCCTTGAAGAGGGGAAGGAATCAACAACCTCTACCTCTTAGCCTCTGTGCTGACTCCTGCCTTACTTACGCACTGTCATCTGTCATTTCCAACTGAAGGATTTGGACATTTAAATAAGCCTTGGTTTCATAGTCCACCTTCTTTATGTAATCTCTTCCTTTATGAGAATAGACGTATTTTAATTTCAGTTGCTTGTTTCAACAAATTTATTAGGATGAAGGCTGAACATGTTTTGGTGTTGTTGCACTGTCATCATTCAAACACCTCAATTAATTAGCAAAACCTACCCGCTAAAAAGTTAGCACCCTACGTCACTAGATTCCTCAACAAAATTTGAACAGTAATCGGACCACTATCCTTCTGAATACCATGAGATCCCCTCACATCTAAATGCATTGCCACTTAATGGCATTTAAATGGAAAAGGAACAGGGAAGGCAACAAATGGCAAACTACTTTCTTGTTAAACTGAGTAAGCAACTTCTAGGGTGCTACAGTCCTGCTAACAAAATGATAGACATAAGCACAAATTCAAAGACAAAATGCTTCAGATGCTAGAAGTTGGAAACAAAAACAGAAAATGCTGGAAGTATTCAGGTTACCTGACATCTGAGGAGAGAGAAGCAGAGCTCACAGTTCAGCTTGATGATTCTTCATCAGATTGTTTGCCATTGGTGCTGCCTGACCTGCTGAGTATTTCCAGCATTTTTGGTTTTATTTCTGAGCAACATAGCCACTCTGTGACTGATACAAGAATTGTGTCTAACAGCAACATGATGAATTCTTTTTTGCTCTATCAGGGATAGATGATAAATGGCAGTGTAGTGAATGACACCCATCTTGATATCCACTGTCGGAATTACAAAACAATTTGGTATTTTGTGGCTTTAAAAACATCAGCACCCATACACCACATTTCTGTAGTCTATAAGCTGTGAACAGTATACTGGACAAGACTGACCTAAATGAGCATTTACCAGCAGATTAGTAACTATAAAATTAAGTTCATAAATGGAACAGATTTCTTAGTGAGTTCACTGAATAAACTGCCCGTTTAGATTCCCTGTATTTTCAATCAGATTTCTTATTTCTCGCAATAATTAAGTGACCCAATTCAAATCATGAATATCTTGTGGTCTACTATTCCTTCTTAACATCTCCAACTCCTTGTTGCTGACCTACTAAACTGAGCCTTGTCAAAACTACAGCTCATCTACAACTCTGTTACCACATTTTGTTGCAAATTTCCAGTTCAGTGACGTTATCATAAATTTTTTGCATTAAAAATAATAATAAACCTAAGTTATATAGATGCAGAAGTCATATTGGAGAAAAAGACTTCATAGACAGAAAATACATGATTTCATGAAAGAAACTGCATTACATTTTCATCTCCCTTTTGCTGTTATTAAGGTATGGAATCCTGTTGCTTGATAAACAAACATTTTAATAATTCAGCCACGCAGTCCTTGCTTTCATTAATCTCTATGCTGTCATTGAAGTACAAGCATTCCCGAAGCGAGAGCCACAGTAATTCCTAAAATGCTTCCCAAGTTTTTCCAGAGTATTTATAGCAACATTGCAAACAATTCAGTGTTGTGCGGCTCTAACAACGAATGGGATCATTTCTGCAATGAACATATTGTGTAAGACTGACCCAAATAAGCACTTAACCAGCAGAGATTAATGATTATAAAATTAAGTTCAAAGGTGGAACAGATTTCTTGTTGAGTGCACAGAATAACATGCCAGTTTAAACTCCCTGTATAGCCATCTAAACTCTCAATTGTAATCACATATTACCATAAAAAGGATAGAAAGTAATAATGTCACAATAATATTAGTGCATTTAAAATGTACCCAGAATAGTACTGGTTCAGTAGATTTCCTAGTGCAGAAATTTCTCATCTCGGTATAAATTTAAGAATGCAAGCAATAGTGCACTTAGTCTGCTCTATCACTGATTTAAATCATGACTGATCTGTACTTCAACCTGTTTCCAGTGGCAGAAAGTTCAGTAATCACAGGCCACAAATCGAAGGTGATAGGCAAAACAGCCACAGATAATATTTAGAAAAAATTAAGAGTGGGTTACTGTGATCTTGAATGCACTATTTGAAATAGTAATGTTTGATAGGAATTTCACAACTATTTAAATATTTGAAAGAAAGAAAGAGTTATAAGGCTGTGGGGAAGGAGCAGGGCACTGTAACTAACTATAGCTTCTTCTTAGTTCAACCATTTTACAGTTGTATGTGTTTGTCTTATTTGCATAGACAAAAAAAGGTTTTCACAAATTCCCCAATTAAATTTATAGTTAGATGACAAATGATTCCATAGAAAACTTAATATTATATGCAATACTTAAAGGGGAAGAGATCATGCTCAACTGAGCTCTAAATGTAATTTGTACATTTTATTTCACACAGTTTCCTATCACATTTCCTTACCACTACATTCATACCATCTAGCAGAAAACTCAAGTTTTAATTTTGTGCTGAATATAAATAATGATCACAGAAAATGTGGTAGCACTAAGTGGATTTGAAGACAAGATACAAATCAGGAAACAGTGATGGGGTAACAAGGGGTTCTTTCTCAGGTTGGCAACCTGTGAATAATGGGGTTCCACAGAGATCAGACTGGGACTACAACTGTTTATATCATATTAATGCCTTGGAAGAAGGAAGCGAATGTACTGTGGCCAAATTTGTAGATGACACAAAGTAGGAGAGGCAGGTTGCAAGATGGATACAAACAGTTTACAGAGAGATATTGTTAGGTTAATTAAGTGGGCAAAAGGTTAGCAAATGCAATTTAATGGAGGATGTGAAGTTGTTCATTTTGGAAGGGAGAACAAAAATACAGAGTTATTATTTAAATGGGAAAAAGCTATAGGAAGCTGCAGCACAAAGGAACTTGAGGATACTCGTGCATGGAACACAGACAGCTAGCACACAGGTGCAACAGGTATTCAGGAAGACTAGTGATCATTGGCCCTTATTTCAAACAGGTTGGAGTATAAGAATAGGGAAGTCTTACTGCAACTGTTCAAGGTGCTGGTGAGATCACATCTGCAGTACCGTGAACAGTTAAAGGAAATATATTAATTCATTGAAGAGTGTTCAAAGAAGGTTTGCTAGAATGATCCCAGCATGGAAGCACTGGCTTGTGAGCAGAAGTTAAACAGGATTGGGCTCTACTCATTGAAATTTAGAAGAACTTACTGAAACATAAAAGACTCCTAAAGGGCTTGGGCAGGGTAAATGCTAAGAGGATATTTCTCCTTATGGGACAGTCTAAGACCAGATGGCATTGTCTGAGTATTAAGGGTTTAAGATTTAAGACTGAGATGAGGAGGAATTTCTTTTTCAGAGGGCTGTGAATCTTTGGAATTCCTTGCCACAGAGAATTGTGGGGGCAAAGTTCTTGTGTCTTTTTCAGGTTGAGATGGATAGATTCTTAATTAGAAGAATCAAGGGTCATGGGGAAGGAGCAGGAAAGTGGGCGTGAGGAATTTCAGATCAGCCATGTTCTTATTGAATGGCAAGGTAGGCTCGAGGAGACAAACAGCCTACTCCGGATCCTATTTCTTATGGTCTTATTATGAAGGTATGAAAATCTAGAATCCTGGATTTCATTAGCATTGAACCCAATTAAAAACATCGAGTCAAGGAAAATAATCAAGTTATTTTAGGTAAACATGACCATTCCATTCTATTCCAGGACATAGGAGATGGGTGGGGAGAAAGCAGTCAAGTGAACTTGATTCAGTTTAGCATCAAATGCGAAGTTCTAATATTTCTCTATGAAAACTGAAATATATGAAATATTTTGAACCTTTCAATAGCTTTGCTTTTTCTGAGCCTTTGGTATGATGGTCTTCTGCTATAAGAGTGGCTGTAAAATAAAAACAAAATGTCAGTATTATACAAATATTTAAAGCTTTGCACTATACCAGAAGAATATATTTAGCCTGATTATACAGAAACAAAATTTTGTGATCCTGCTCAGGGTAAAACGTAACGTTATCAACTTTGGCACAAAAGAACAGAATAGCTGATATGTGGGGAAAGACTGCAGAAAGCTGCAGCACAGAATGATTAGAGAGGTCCTACTGCATGAAACAAAAGGCTAGCATCCAAGTTCAGTGGATAATAGAGAAAGGGAATGGAATGTTGGCCTTTATTTCAAAGGGAATGGAAAACAAACATAGGGAAGTCTTGCTAAATGTATACAAGGCACTTGTCAGACAACAGCTGGAACACTGAACAGTTTCAGTTGCCTTCTCTCAGGAAAGATATACTGGCATTGGTTGCAGTCCAGAGAAGGTTTACGAAGTTGATTCCAGGAACAGAAGGATTTCCTTATGAGGCGAAATGGAGTTAGTTGGGCCTGTACATATTGGGAGTATAGAAGAACAAGAGGTGACATTATTGAAACATATCAGATTCTTGGGGGGCTTGACAGGGTGGGTGTGGAGTAGTTACTTATGGGAGACTCTAGAACCAGAGGACATAATCTCAGAGTAAGGAGTTGCCCACTTAAGGCAGAGACAAAGGGATGTTTTTCTCTTAGGGAATAGAGACAATCCTCTATGCAACTAATAAATGTAGCCAACACCATGGACTCTTATTTCATTCATAGCCTTATGTAATACCTTATCAACATCTTTGGAAACTCAAAAATATCACATCCACTTTATCACCAGTTATCGTTATTTATCATTTTTATTTATCCTGCTTGTAACCTCCTCAAAGAATTCAATTAAATTTGTCAGGCATGATTTCCCCTTCATGAAACCATGCTGACTTTGCTTGATTATATTACTTATTTCTAAATGTTCTGCTATTACACATTTTATAATGGATTCTTAACATTTTCCCAATGTCAGACATTAAACTAACTGACCTGCTTTATTCTCAACCCCTTTTTGAATAAAGTAGTTGTGTTGGCAGTTTTCCAATCACCTGGGACTGTTCCGGAATCTAAAGATTCTTGGAAGATTACCACCAGTGCATCCAGTAACTCAGTAGCTACTATCTTTAATATTCTAGGATGAAACCCATCAGGTTCAAGAGACTTATCAGTTTTTTAGCCCCATTAGCCTCCAGAGTGCTATTTTTTCCTCACGATAGTTATTGTATTTATTTCCTCTTCCCCTTGATTATTTAGTATTTTTGGAATGCTAGCAGTGTCTTCAGTGAAGGCTGATGCAAAACATCTGTTCAACTCTTCTGCCATTTTCTGGTTCTACATTATTATTTCCACAGTCTCATTTTCTAAGGGGTCTATGTTCACTGTGGCCTCGCTTCCTCTACAAGTATTTGAAAAACTCTTCCTAATTTACTTGTTTATTTTCTCCACCTTTATTATTTATAGATCATCTTTTATTGGTTTTAAAAACTTCCCCCAATCCTCTGGCTTACTACTATTCTTTAATTTTTTTTCTTTTAACTTGATACTATGCTTACCTTCCTTAGTTAACCATGACTGGTATATCCCCTTCCAAAAAACCTTTTTTCTCACTCAATTTTTTTTTGTGCATCATGCACTATTTTCTTAAATGTCTGTCACTGTTCCTCAATCAGGTTTTCTGCTGAACTCCTTTCCCAGTCTACTTGGCAAACTCTGCCCTCATTTCTTTGCAATCACCCTTGATTAAGTTTAGCACAGTGTTTCTAATGCAAATTTTCTCACTCTCAAACTGAATGCTAAATTTTACTATGTTGCAGTCACTGTTTTTTAGGAGATCTTTTACTCTAAAATTGTATATTAAACCTGATTCAGTACATATTACCAGATCCAAATTAGCCAACCCCTGGTTAGAAACATAAAATATTATTCCAGGAAATGTTCCTGGATACACTCTATAAATTCTTCCCCTTGGATAACTCTGCCAATTTGATTTTCCCAATCTAAATTAAGATTGAAGTCACCCATGGTGAATAAAATTAATATTTTTTGTTACTTGTAATTCCATGTTATGTGACAAGTGACAACAGTTTTGTACAGTGTTAGATTTATTACCTTTCCTTTTTAAAAATGCATTTAAGCCACAGTTTAAAAACACAGTTCAATCTTAACTATGCTTTCAGTTCAATTATACATGATAGTATGCAACGTTCAATTGCTTGTCTCCAATGGTTGAAGGAGAAACCAGACAGATTTCACAGACACAGACACAGACATTGGCACTTTCTCAGTATGCGCATCATCGGCAGTTACTTTTAAATTTGGCCAAGAAGTATTCAAATTCATGAAGATTCATAAACTATTTGGGTTTATTTAGCAAAATAACTGTTAGGAGGAATGCTTGGAGGAAAAAAAAACGGTCAGACCATTGCAACTCTGAGCAGAGAAAACAATATACAAAGATTTAACTACATGGAACACATAGCAAAATAAAGGCATAAGGTTCAACTGGTCTAAACCAGTGTTCTTACTCCACATGTGCATCCTCCCTCTTCGTCTAATCCTGTCAGCAGACTCACAGAGGAAATTTAGTACACAGAAGTGTTAAATGATATATTTTGGTAGGAGAAAAGAGAGGCAATGTGAAATAAATGCTACAATTTTAAAGAGATGCAGGAACAGAAAGATCTCTTGAAGTATTCCTTATTTTCGTATCATTTCCGAATTTGGCATTATCTGCAAACTTTGAAATAATGTCCTGTAAACGCAAGCACAAAACACTCGCATCAATAAAAAAAGATGGAGAACAGACTTAAATGAGCACGACTTAAATAAATACACATGCTGGAAAAGCTCAGCACATTGGCAGCATCTGATGAAAAAGAGAGTTAAAGTTTTATAAGAACTTAAGAAATAGCGGCAGGGGATCATCCAGCCCTTTGCAGCCTCTCTGCCATTCAATGAGATCATGACTGACAACACTATATTCCTGCACAATTCCCATATCCTTTGATGACTCTGCAGAAATCTATCGATCTCCATCTTCAACAGACTCAATGATTGAGTCTCCTTACTCCTTTATTCAAATTCTCACATCATAAAATGCAGCATTTCAACTGCTCACTTAATTGCTTGCTGTACTTATATGTTAACTTTCAGTGACTAATGAATAAGGACACCAAAGATCCTATGGAGTTCAGCATTTCCCAGCCTTTCACCATTTACAAGTGCTCTTTTTTTTTTTGTTTCCTACCAGAGTTCATAGCTTCATTTTTTCATGACTTGTGGGCATCACTGGCATGGCTAACGTTTGTTGCACATCCTTAATTACTCTTGGACGGAGCAGCTTGTTGGACCATTTTAGAAGGCAATTAAGAGTCAAATATGACCTCACATTTCTGCACATTGTATTTCAACCGTCAAATATGTGCCTACTCACTTTGCCTCTTAAAATCCTCTTGAAGCATCTTTGTACTCCCCTCACAACTCACACTTTCACATAGTTTTGTCAGATGTGAAACTGGAAATATTACATTCAATCCCCATATCTCAAAACATTGATACAGATTGTGAAAAGATGTGGCATAAGCACCGAGCCTTGCGGTACCCTCCAAGTTACAACCTGTTAACTTGTAAGCAGCCCGTTTATTCATATTTTTTTCTGTCATATAACAAGTTCTCAATCCATGCCAGTGTATTCCACCTCCCCAATCCCATGTGAGCTCATTTCATTTACCAAACTCTTATGTGGGACTTAAGTCTTCTAAAAATCTAAATATACCACATTCACCTGCTCTCAGTTATCTATTCTGCTAGCTACATCCTCAAAAAACTCCAACAGCTCTGTTAAATAAGATTCAGCTTTCATAAATCTTTTTTGACTCTGCCCAATCCTACCATTACTTTCTCATAATCTTGCTCTTGTACCTATAGTATAGATTCTAACTTGTTTTCCCCCTACAATTGATGTTAGGCTAATAGGTTGCTTCCTCCTTTCTAAACAATGGCTAATTTGCAAGACTATTCCAGAGTCTGTAGAATTTTAAATGATGACCACTAACACATCTTATAGCTACCTCTTTTGTCACTCTGGGATGTAGACAATCAAATTCAGTGATTTATTTACTGCAATAACCACTAATTTCTCTAGTATTGTATTTTTAAGAATAATGTTTTCCTGTTCCTTCTTTCCATTAGTCCCCACATTTTCCATTACTTCTGGGAGGTTTTCAGTGTCCTCCATGAAGACTGACACAAAGCATTCTTTTAGTTTCCCTGCCATTTCCTCCACCCCATTAGGAATTCTTCCAACTCCACTTGAAACAGATCCACATTTGTTTTTGTTAATCTTTCCTTACATATCTATAGAAGCATATATAGTCATCTTAATGTTTCTTGCTTGTTCACTCTAATTTTGTTTTCCCTTCCTTCACCTTTTTCTTGGTCCTCCTTTGTCTAATTATACAATGGTGCCAATTCTCAGACTTACCCTTCTTGGCAACTTTATGGGTTTCTTCATTTAATTCAAGGCTTTAAAAAGGGAACTTGATTTAATATCTTTTGTTAGTCATAGTTGAATACTTTCCTTGCTGGAGTTTTTGCACATTAAAGGAATGTGTTATTGTTGTAAACTATGTATTTATTCTATAAATATTAGCCAATGCCTGCCTACTGTCATTCCTTTTAACCTAGTTTCCCAATCCATCATACATTGTCTCATTACAGCAATAGTCTGCTATGAATTAAAGATTATCCTGCTGCCTTGTTTTGATGTGGAGGAGTGGCGGAGCACTCTTGACTACTGATACCTTCTCATTCAGGGATCAGATTTTGTTGCTCAAAGCTTCATGGTTTCTTTTGTTTTAATTTAAGATCTTGTTTTCTGATTAAGTTTGAAAGTAATGTAATTCAATGTAAAATTCTAACTCATTATGGTCATTCTCCTAAAGACTCCTTTACAACAAGATTATTAATTAGCCCTTTCT